GCAGCAAAAGAAGATAGCAATGACAATTCTGCCAAGGCATACCTGCGAAATACAATGTATAGTGGCCTATACATCCTATTTTCTGTGAGATTAAAAATTATATAAAATAAAATGACATATACTACATAGTTGCCAGATAAAATCCTTTAGAATGAACATGGGTGGGTGGGTGGGTGGGTGGGGAAAAGGTATCGAAGCGCAAAACTTGCTGCAGCTAGGGAAAGCATACAATGGCAGAATGAATACCCAGACCGAAGCACTGATTACAAGGCATGAAACAACCCTCTTTGATCTATATGACGTCACAGACTCCCCTCAGTGGATGTGGCCTGCATAATACATCCATCGTTAACCTTGCTTAATTTAAATGTATTTAACCACATCAAGAGCTGATGTAATAATACATTGTCAATTTAACTAGTCTGCAAACCGTAAATCTGATTTGCATACAGCACACACAAGACAAGATGAATCCAGACTATTTCACATCAGTGACCATGATTTAGTTGCAACATTTACAACCAAATGGATACCAGGTTATTAAGCAAATTTCTTCAAATTTAATTGCAACCCCCCCCGTCATTTTCTTGAAAAAATTTAATAGCCCCCCCTTCTTGTCATTTATTTCTACATATGGCCCCCCCCCTTATTTTTCCCTCCCCCCCTTCCATAAATAATGACCGGTCCCTTAATGAATTTTCATGAGTAACCAATCTTTCATGACATATCCAACTTGCCGATTTATCGCAAATGTAGATAAAGTAGATCCTAAATTTCTCTCACACATGAACTTGATTTCCTATGTTGTGCCCACACTGCCCAGTAAGGTATTGATAATGTATACGGTCCAAATTAGTGTTTGTTTTATTAAAGAGTGCCCTGAAATAGCTAGAAAGGAAGTTTTATATAATCTACATTTTAATGATTGAATACAGTTTAATGTGACGCTTTATTGAAACCCAATCCCCGAATAGAGGCCCAATCTGGCCGGTTAATTAATAACCTCAAGATGGTAATAAAATTGACATTGAAATCGAAATTGAAATACAGATCGATTTAGCGTGAATAGTCGATACATTTGGCGTTCGACAATTACTATTCTCGAATTCTGTGATAAAATAGATGAAGTTAAAGCATTTTGGTTGGTTTGAAAAGCGAAATACGAAGCAAACGTGTGAATTCACCGCATACTTACGCACCAAATGCATGTGCATACATATACATTGATATACGAATGATATCAAATGACACTTGTTGAATTCGTGTATGGCCTCTCGATCTTGTTATAATTCCCCTAGCGGCGGCTTCATTTAACTTCATCGGTTGAGCCAACGTATTCCTTTGTCCACCAGAAAGATAAAAGCGCTTGACCACGGTAGAGTTATACTTGAATAGACTGCGTCTCACTGAATCACACATCGATACTTGAGCCAAGGTATTCCTTTGTCCACCAGAAGAGTAAAAGCGCTTGGCCGCTTGCCCGCGGCAGTTATATTTGAATAAACATCATCTCACTGAATCATACATCAATACACGAGCCAACGTATTCCTTTGCTCGCGGCAGAGTTATATTTGACTGATAAACTGCGTCTCACGAATTATACATCAATACTTGAGCCAACGTATTCCTTTGTCCACCAGAAGAGTAGAAGCGCTTGCCCGCGGCAGAGCTATATTTCAATAATCTGCGTCTCACTGAATAATACTGGTTACTGACCGTTGTTGTATATCCACGAAATATCTTTTCCAAAAGTATAATTTTGAAGTACTTTGCCACAGAGATCATACAATTTTGCTTGCAAGTGACACAATGAGGCTTACTGATCCAAGCAGGAAACTATGCAGACGAAGAGGTGAAACCTGATTGGTTTATTTTCCCGCACGCATGGGAAGAGATTTGACAATGGTTTGTTGTTAATTCAGCCTTGCGCTTTGCACGTGTATGATCACACGATTCACAGATTGACCTTTGTACCAGACCTTTGTACTCCAGGAGATTTTGCACAACTTTACTCTTGTCCTAACGCTTGTTTCATTAACTTAAGTTTATAATGCTATGAGCATGTATAAACTTGCTTTAAGGTGGCTCCCTACAGTTCTCTAAAATTCTAGGTATTTTGAGTAACGTTCGCTTTCAACCGAATTTATATTAAATATACTTAAGACAGGGCAATATGATTGCTGTGTGCAGAAGCTGTGTGCTGTCCATTTATGAACAAACTAGAACAGTGTTCGTGTCGCCATGGCAACCATGGCGTTTAATCATTTGCACTTTTATTGTCTAATTTCACAATAAATTGACAATATCTATATTTTCCTTCGGTGAATTTTTCTGAATTTTTTTTTGAAATTTATGGTCCATAAAGGGAAAACATGTCAAAATTTGAAGGGAGGTTTACAAATAAGTTTTCGAGATATTCGTGAATGACGGTTACAGAAAAAGTTATTTGTAGAATTTCTTAAAATTTGGATATGGTGTACCACTCGTCTTGTATAACAAAAATACAAAGTTTAAAAAAATTTCACCGAAGAAAACACGAGAAAATCATCGCTAAAATTGGCGCGGCCAGCATGAGAAAAAAATCGACTCGACATGAGCATGATCTGCGCATGCGTGTAAATTGTAGCGTGTGATTTATAGTGATTTCACGTTTTTGGCTTACAATACATACGAAAACAGATATTTCTGACTTGTTTGACATGAAAATAAAATATTAATCTTGAAAATACTAATAATAAAAACACTATTACGCGTTGTATTAAATCCAGTGTTTCTTTACATTTGTTTTTGTTGTTAAAATCGGTGTGAAAAGTTTTCAAAACATCGAACTACAAGTTTAACTTTTCATATAAAACAACTCATAACTGTTTTATTTTATTTAGCAGACAAAAAGATATATCTGTGAATTGAATTGATTGACAGGACTTACATAAGTTTTGGCGACAGTTCACAGTTCAAGAGTTAATAGAAGACAGTATCATTTCAGTTTGACAGTTCGCAACACCACAAGTTGAAAATTTTGAGCATTACGAAAGACAATGCTGAACGTAAATACGTAAAAACACACTAAAAGATAGGTTAAACTAGTTAATAACATACGTACTGTTCGAATTCAGAAAAAAATAGGATTATAATGAAAAACTGGAGCTTTCTTTGTAGATAAAAACTCAAAAAGCTTCCCGCGGCTTGTTTCGATATTTTTGCCGAACCAGCCCGAACAGTGAACACAATGATTCCACGCCCAGGTCGCGAGGATGAAGTCTGATCTATATAAATCGTATTTTAAACTGTATTAACTGTAGGGATCCACCTTAAACACAAAAATCTAGTTGTTGATGTTGTATGAAATGTAACGCTATCTCTATTGGAGGTATTGGAGGTATTGGTAGATTGTCCAAAGGTGTAAGACGGTTACTCTGTAATTTAACCTATTAGAAAAGGTAAATTTTCATATCCCCAGTAATTTAAGGCTCAATAGATGGTCTTGTTTATTTGTATTTTGGGAAACTAAAAAAGAGCTCACAGTGACACTAATTATATTTGTTCAAAAGTAAAAAAAAAACAATTTTAATAAGTTCTTAACAGATATCTACAAGTATATCTAACAAAAACATAATGTATCCATCGAAAAGCGATCGGAACAATTGATGGCTATAATTGGAAATTGGAACAGCTGGTGATCAAAGTTGTCGATCTTTTCGACACTAGCTGTCTCAGCACTATAGTCACTTATGTGACACACGTTTGTTTCGCGCACTTACAGTAACTATGGAATGCGCATAACCATATAGAGTATAACACATAGTGAACAACTATATTATTCAAAGAAATTCTGCATGGTGTATAGTATATAGTAGATACCCAGACGAACAGCATGAAAAATACTATTTAATCTTCACTATGAATTGTTGAAACGAATAGCGCATTTGCATATTCCTGAAATAAAATATTTGTGTTGTATCATGAGTAATTCTTCGTCATGCAAGAACGCTTCATGCAAATAGCACGGGAAACGAAAAACCTGTTTAGGTTTAAAGGACTGAGAACGAAATCCTTCTAATGAATTCATGCATTCAAAGCTACACTCACATTTTCTAAAGTAAATAGTTTGTTTTGCTTTGAGACGTTTTCTAAAAATGCTTTCCCTTCAACATTTGGTTTTTGGTTTCTTTTTAAATTAATGGTAGTTGTTGTCCATTTCTAGTTCGGAGAACAAGGATGCATGTGTGGGCAATATTATGCAAATAATGAATGTTCGTGGTAAGAATAGTTTCAATAGGTAAAAGATGGAATGTTCCATTTAAGGTGGCGATAGCCGATCTCAATGGAACATCCATCTTTCGCCAATGAAAGTTTTCTTGCCATTGCATAAATGAAAACATTGATTTCATTTTGTTTTGTATAACACCAAATTAAATCATTGAATTATTTATGCAGTGGAACAAATAACATTCATTTAATGCAATCCACATAATGTTCAATCCACGATTTGACCGTTACATGGTCATTGAATTAGTGCCACATCATGATAATCCATGGAAATTTAGTAACGTGTTACATAAATTTTACAAATCTATGAGTAAATATGTAATATGCAATTTTAGTAAGACATTTATTTGTCATTGTAGTGTCCGGATATCCAAGGCTAAGCAAATAATCAAATTGCTGAAAACGACTATCCACCATGCACAAAATGAGAAAAGCAATTCGGTTTGCACCCAATTTTAAAGATAATCTTCTATGATCGATTGATCGTCACCTTAAAGATATTATTCATTTCTCTATATAGATAGTTTAGACAGCAGATTCGTCCCTACTCTTCATTATTTTATTATAAAACTAGTCAATTTGGAGACCAGTGTCCGCACTGAACAAATGTACAAAAAAGAACACGCGTGGGAATGTTTGGCACGTGGAGCTTCGTTTTCTCTTCCCCCCATGTTAATAGAAAGTGACTAACCTAGTGAATTATTTATTATTTGATTTGAAATTTTTGCAGCATGAATGTAAGCTTGAAATTGAAGATCAAGTTGCCTTTGCGTGTAAATATTTACCAGATGGCAAGGTAAAATTCCTATATTTATCGTTTACAAAATACGATCATTATCGCACATCAGCGCTCTATATTAGACTTATCTAGCACCTTTGCATTGTAGGTGAACAATATATGTTTTACAATATCAGAAAGTTTATTTTCTATTATCTAAAATATGCATTTTGCGTAAAACGTATTGCAAACTCGCCATTAGCCACATGATAGTTGAAACGTGAAGCGATCTACAGGGTAAATTACGCAGTATTGTTGATATTTTTACAGTTGGGAACCTTCTTAAATGATTTATGTAAGACAATGATAAAGACTGGAAACCTTGAAGGCATATTGGTAACAGGTAACTATATAGTTGTTTGCCGTTGCATTTTGGTTTGTTTATACATATTTTGTGTATGTCTGCATGTTTGTTTGTTTGTTTGTTTGTTTGTTTGTTTGTTTGTTTGTTTGTTTGTTTGTTTGTTTGTTTGTTTGTTTGTTTGTTTGTTTGTTTGTTTGTCTAATTTCATGTCTTAATAATTATATGTTATTGCATGCATTTCTGTCTGTCTAAACGTTTTTATTTTGAAACGCATGGTTTATGTGTCTTGAAACTAAAAGTAAAACACTCTCTTTTAAGGAATGACAGAAGACGGAATTAATTTGCTACAGAAGTATATAAACCTGGTACGTTATCCTGTATTTTCATTCAGATTTGGGTGCTTGGTAGTGTATTGTTTCTTTTATCACTTGTTAATATACTTGTTTCGGTACTGAATTCATTTCCCCTTATTATTAGGCACGTGTATTGTATAGAACTTCATATATGAAAACTAGATCTGCATGCATGTTCATGTATATGATGGTGTGCATGCATCCATGCATGTTCACAGGGCATTTTTTAACTATATAACTGGGGGGGCCAAAGCCCCCCCAGCCCCCATGGTGCCCCCCCCCACTCAACCATTTTGCCCCCCCCCCAGTCAAAGTCCCTTTTCTCTAAAATATAAGCAAAACATGGAATTTAGAAGGGAGGTTTGATATTCTAGTAACTGAAATTTTCTTTGTGAATCTTATGTCCTGTCTTTTATGTTTAATAAATACCTTATTAGATTTTAAACATTTCCCAGGCAGTGGATTGCATTTCCCAGACCCTATAGAGTTTGAGTTGTTGGACAAGTTAGTGACCGCAGGGGGCAACAGGCCCTCAACCATGTGTTTTATAAGGGGGGGGGGATAATTTTGGCCCCACAAAAAAAAAACAATTTGATTTCGAAACTAGAAGTATTTGAAATCATATATACATATAATCAAATATCCGTAATCGATATTTTGATAACATTTCTCGTAATAATCCATCCTGACTCGCCGATATCATAGACTCACAAATCATAATGAACGAATTAATGAAAGGGCCAAACAAAAGACGTATAGAAGACTTTGAAAATGCCATTTCCGATGATTTAGAGACGCAAAATTTTCAAAATTTTTCCGCTCTGTGCCAACCATGGTGGCGCTTCGTGGGAGTCGGGAACTCTAAGTTTATCAAGCTGGCTCCCTAAGTGACGGCCAAGTTGTGGTATCTACATAAACATACTATGCAAGTACTTAACTGAAGGTTCAGTCTATCTACAGCATAATGTAATGCTGTATATCCAAAAATCTGTTTCAGAAAATGCAGGGAATTGCAGTCATAGGGGTAGAAAAATACAAAAATTTTCTGGGGGAGAAAACCCCAGACCCTCTCCAGGGCCGTAGCAACCGCGGGGGGGGGGGGGCTGCAGCCCCCCATTAATTTGCTAATAATCATTCATTTTTCAAAATCATGCAGACCTTTATTATTTAATCCATGACAAACTGCAAAGAATGAAGATATTACCCATACTTTCCTGCAACTTATCCAATATATCGTTAATTAAATACACCTTCGCCCATTTAGTACTACTGAATTCTAAATTTCCACATACTAAAAACGCTGTTTTCTGACAATCAGAAATCTGTCAAATCTTCCCCAAAGTCCAGGAAATGGCATTTCAGAGACTCTAAATTTAAAAATTTCCTCGGGCCTTCGGCCCTCGCTTTCAGCCCCCCAAACGAAAAGAGCTTCCTACGGCCCTGCTCTCCCCCCCCCCTACTATTAAATGCGATACCACACCAAAGTTTTTGTT